GCAACACATGACACATTAGATGAAACTTACCTTTGTGTATTGGTTAGTTATCAGACATTAGGAAGTCAAGTCATTGATAGTATGTTAAAAATTTACTAAAAAATAAAGGATTCTTTTATTACAATTTTCTCCTGGTTCCCAGCACATACTTTGAGTAATATATAAAGTGAGCAAGATGAGAATTTCAGATATCAAGCTTAAAACCAAGTAGGAAAGTTACACCATTTGTATTAATATTATATGTTTGCCGTTATTTGTAGAAAATGATAATACAGACAGTGTGTATAAGTGCCATCACCATGGTTTAAAATACCTCTTGTCTATATTAGCTGGGGTCTCCAACCCTTGATGTCATAGCCTAGGAATAACATTTCCCCTACCTCCTCCTTTTCTTTTCCTTTAATGGTCCTTTAAAGAATTCATGGGGAGTAGTATTTATGTTCTCCTCCCCTGTTATCCTATGGGACCTAATAGGATCTGGGTGACTTCTGTCTAGCAAATTCCCTTTAGTTTGGCAGGCACCTTGGGCTTTTAACTGTTGTGTGACACAAGTTACATCATAAAACTGAGGGATTATTTAATAGTATGCTCTGTTACCAAAGGTGATTTTGACAATTTTGGGGCATGTATCCCATGAAAGGGGGAAATTTTTTACTTAAGATTTAATTTTAGCCTCAGAGATTTTGAGCAGGTTAAGAATTTTAAGCTTGCCATTTTTCACAGAAGTTTTGATAGCTGCTGTAGGTCTTTCACTTGAATAGAAGGTAAGCCTGGTTTAATGTTTTGTTGGATGTATAGAGTGTTCATCTAACGCAGATGTGGTCAAAGTGTGGTCTGCTGACCTGGGCCTTCCCAAGATCCTTCCACAGAGTTGCAAGGTCAAAACTATCTTCATAGTAATACTTAAGATGGCTATTCTCATGATTTATCCATCCTCAAGTAGAAATAGTAGCATACACAGTGCCAAGATTAATAATTTATTCTTCTCTTTTCTTCCCTCCCTCCCTTCCTTCCTCCTTTCCTCCTTTTTCCTCCTCTTATTCCTTCCTCCCTTCCTGTTTTGTTGTCTAGTATGCCCTTTCACTTCTATTTTCTCATCTGTAAAATGAGGATAGTAATAGTATTTACCTCACTGAATTGTTTTGAAGATTAAATGTGTTAACATTGTAAGTAATGTGTAAAGTGCTTAAAAATAGCACTAGCACATAGTAAATGCTCATAGAACATATTACTAATATTAATAATCATTGTTCACGTTATTGTTTTGTTCCCACCTCTTTATAGGCTTAAACTATAAAGTACTATAACTTCAAGTTATAACTTAAAGTACTATAACTTAAAGTACTATCGCTTCTCAATTTAATTAAAAACTATGTAAAATAATGAAATATGAGGGCCTACAGAGAGATTTG